TTTTCAGGATATATGTATTTTGATCTCCTGAATAACTTTCACTTAATAAGCCATGTCGATATGCTTAGTAAAATTTTTCGTAATCGAGCAAAATCTGCTTTTACCTGAAAATAAGCTACTTCTGATTTTTTGAGCTTAAAATCATCCAAAAAATGGTAGCTTATTTTTGGGAATCTACGGTAATTTTCATTATTTTAAAGATTAAAAAAATTATAAATAAAAATCAATTTATAGTAGTACACACCGACAATGTAGATATAGAGAAAAAGAGTCATTTGAAAAGCATCAAGAATGTTTTTCAAATGATCAGAATAGAAGGCTTCAAAAAAGAGTAACAGAAACTGCCCAAGAATGTGAGTCACATCTTGCTCGAGATAGAGAAAGAAAATGTCGTAAAGCAAGAACAAATGCTAATTTACAGCAAGAATCAGAACGACCCGTAATATCAGTAAATATAGAAAGCATATATCCAATTAGTGAAAATATTTTTACTTCATCTCAAATTAAAAATATTGATAATATATCTGAAAATGAAGAGATTATTATAGCTACATTTCAAAATGATAATATTGCAGAAATAAGTATCAAATTACAATCAGCCACAGAATTAAATGAAGTCAAACAAGAACTTTTGAAAAAATTTCGCACTAAAATGAGTAACCTTCAATATGTTCTCTGCACTATGTGCAATGAACGTTTTCCATCTATAGTGCTTGTCAATAGAATGTGCTATCATTGCAATAGTGAAAAGGTTTTACTAAAAAAGTTTTCTGCTGCAAATAATATGGATCCAAGTGAAATATCTAAGGAGCTTCAGGGTTTAACAGAAGTAGAAGAAATATTAATAGCACAAGTTTTTGCTGTAGTGTCAGTATATAAACTTCGTGGTAGGCAACTCGGTTATAAAAGAAATATTATAAATTTTTCTCAAGACATACAAGAATTTACTACACAGCTTCCTCAACATCCATCGACATTAAATATACTAATTGTGCATCATTAATCAGCAAATGATCCTACTGCATTCAGAGACTTTATAGTTCATCGTAATATTGTTGCAAATACACTATATTGGTTAAAGGCAAATAATTGTTATTATACTGATATTACTATTGACAATGAAGTACTTGAATCTTTGCCTGAAGATGGTTATATAGATGATCAGCTTCTACAACTTCAAACTAATGAAACAGATGATGATTCAAATATTGAAAATGAAAATGAAATTCCACGTTCTTTTGTACCTTTTCTTCTACCAACTGATTGTGAGAATGTTGCTATTAATAATGCTCTTGACCGTCTGGAGTCTGAAGATCTATCAATAATATGGCCACATATTGACAATACGCTAATTAATGAATTTCAAACTCCAGGATATATTGTACATGCATTTCCAACTTTATATCTGACTGGTTGTGCTAACTTTTATGCAGAACATGTTAAAGATGTTAAACCAGCTGAATATTTTAAGCATTTTCTCTAATTTAAAGATGGAAGATTTGCACATCACTCTTGTTAGCGTTATTTTGCATTAAATTCTCTAATGCAATAGAGAGCACTACAAGAAGGAAAAGTTTTTGTTAGGCAAAGTTTGAATAATGATCAGCTTATTGTTACTGATATTCGAAATATGATTGCTGAAGGTGATATATATATGGCTAACAAAATTATAAAATTTGGTGTTGGTTTGTGTAGAACTCGGTAATTTTGGGCTGTACATCATTGTGAGTTATCAGATATAATAAAACAATTAGGCTCACAAGGATTAGTATTCTTTACTTTTAGTGCTGCAGATCTGCACTGGCCTGAACTTCATGATCTTATACAATCACAAGAAAATCTTGTAGAGGAAGAAATTGATTCTGCAAATTGCCAACGTCAAAATATTATTGACAATTCTCATATTGCTGTTTGGTTTTTTAACAAGCGGTTTGAGGTTTTTTTTAATGATATGCTAAAAACAGCAATGAGATTTAGAAGACTGGTGATATAGATTTGAATGGCAACATCATAGTAGCGTACATATACATAGTATAGAAAAGAAACAGAATACTCCTGTAATTAAATAGGAACAAATAAAAAATGATGATCAAATCATGAATACAGTCATACAGTATCTTAATTCACAAGTTACCATAATGAATCCAGGACTTGATGCACCTATACCTGATCGTCATCCATGTCAGAAACATTAAAATGAGATATATGATGATTTACAAGATTATATTAATTTAATTAATAAATTACAATAGCATACACGATGCAGTGCTACATATTGTCTTCATGTTGATCAAATTGGGCAATAATTCTGCAGATTTGGTTTTCTTAAGGATAATAGTGAGTATACTTTTTTGCATGAAGATAGTTGTAGAGAACCAGAACTTGTAATAGCAAGAAACGATCTATATATTAATCCACATAGTCAACTTCAGTTACAAGGTTGGCGAGCAAATGTAGATATTAAACCAATTTTGAGTATTCATGCAGACTTATAATATATTACAAAATATGCAAGCAAGGCAGAGCCACGTTCTGCTACTTTTTCAAAAATATTAAATCAGATCATATCTAATAGTAGATCTGATAATTCAGTAATTTCAATAGCTCAAAAATTGCTAATACATAGTATTGCAGAACATGATATTTCAGCACAAGAAACTTGTCATATTCTCCTTGGTATCTCTCTTTATCACTCAAGTCAATTATTTATCTCTTTAAATCTAAATAAAAAAGCACCAAAATGGCTTCGTAATACTGGTAGCAATGAAAATAACGAATTTATATCAATTAGAAATGCAGAATTAACATCAAAATCACCTTTAAAAATATATTGGGATTGATCATTTGAATTCGAAAATTTCTTTTTGTATCAACTCTACTTAACATACAAATTTGTTAATAGTCATTGGATAAAGTGTAAACAAGAAAATATTATACGTATATGGCCACATCCATTACCTCTATACCATGGTCCTCAATAGGAAGAATTTTGTTGCATCAAAGTTCTTCTTCATATTAGATATCGATATCTTGAATAGCTAACTGCAAATAATACTATGGAATGGTCAAATATATATAATCATTATCTTAAAGAAATTAATGCTGATCTAATAGATCTACTTGGTTCTCCAATTGATACAGTAGATGAAATAGAAAATAAAAATGTTGAAGAAGATTTAGATGAATTTGAAGATGAAGAGAATGAATTTCAGCTTGATTAGATGCGTTTAGCAGCAATGGGTCCAAACTTAGTTATAAATAGATTTTCTGAATTAGGATCTTATGATATAGATATTAACTTCGATTGGGCTAATGATGCTAGATAGCACTACTCTATTGATGATCTTACAGATATTGATACATTTATTTATCAGGCAAGAACAGAAAGAGATGAAAATAGAGTTATAGATACTGTTGATTATCAAACATTAAATAAAAATCAACAAAAGGTTTTTAAACGAATAAAGATACATTACCAAAATATACTTTCTGGTTTTCAAGTTGAATCATTAAAAATCATTGTCATGGGAATAGCAAGAACAGGCAAATCTTATCTGATTAGAGCAATTAGAAGTCAACTTTGTAGAATGGCAGGAATTGGATCTGAACTACCTATACTTGTACTTGCACCAACAGGAGTTGCTGCATATAATATTAATGGTGCAATTATTCATTCAACACTTTTTATTCCAATGCAAATTAGAAATAATATTGATTTAAAAGATGAATAGTTAAAGCGACTACAAACAAAGCTACAAAATGTAAAATATTTAATTCTTGATGAAAAAAGCATGGTTGGACGTCAAATGCTTAATTTGATTGATATTTGATTACACAAGCTTTTCCTAAACATAAAAATGAACCTTTTGGTGGTCGATCTATTATTATGGTTGGAGATTTTGGTCAACTTTCTCTAGTACTTGACCTCCCTATGTATGCTATTAATGTTTCAAGAGATCTATTATCTAATAGTGGTATTATATCATATGGTCAGTTTCGTGAAGTATATAAACTTGATATTATTTAATGCCAATCTGGAGATTCTAGAGAGCAACAAATTTTTAGAGAAATTTTTTTAAGATTACACAATAGCGAGTTTATATTTGAAGATTGGAAAACACTTACTATATATATTGAAGAAAAACATAATAAACTGAACATGATCGATTTTTAAATGCTATGTTCATATTACCAAAATGGTCTGAAATTAATACAGTTAACTTAAATAAACTTAAATCTTTAAAAAATCCTGTTGTCAAAGTTCTTGCTAAATATACTGATGACCAAGAAGCTAAAAAAGCTGATTCTGACATTGCTAAAGGTCTTGAAGCACAACTTTTATTAGCTAAAAATGCTCAAGTTATGTTAATAGCAAATCTATAGACAGAAGCTGGGTTAGTTAATAGATCAATAGGAACTATTTATGATATTTTGTATAATAAGAATAGTCTATCTTTTCTTCCTGTAGTAGTTTTTATTGCTTTTAATAATTACAATGGTCCTGCTATTAGAACATTAGAAGGTGTAAATGTTTTCAATAGTACCTATTCAATGTACTTGGAAAAGTAAATCTGGGATAATATGCTCATGAACACAAATTTCTATTTGTCTTGCCTGGGCTATTATGGTTCATAAGAGTCAGGAACTTACTCTTTCAAATGCTATAATAGATCTTGAAAATAAAGAGTTTACAGTTGGTCTTTCTTTTGTAGCAGTGTCTTGAGTTCATGCTCTCTCTGATCTTCTTTTTAAACCTTTCAGCTTTGAAAGGCTTTAGCGAATTAAAAATTGTAAAAGATTACAAGATCGAAAAAATAAAGAAGAGCAACTGATATCTATGATATTTAATGAATAAAAAGAGTAATAGTTAATTTATATATATATGTATACATATTATTATGTTATAAAAAAAATTTTAACCAAATATGATTAGCTATACAATATTACTATATATGTATTATTCCTGTTACTGTTTATATATTTATTATTAAGGCAGAAGTTTGTTTGATTAGCTAATAAATTTAATTTATTAATTTTATATTATTTATATAGTTTAGAATACTTTTTAAAAAAATGAAAAATAATTATAATGATAATGAAATAAAAAAAGCTATATAGATAGTTTCATTAGAGCTATAGGACTTTATAGCCAAAAGTAAGATTTAATTCTCATCTGTTTAAAAA